TAATTTTCTAATTTCACTACCCAGTCCTCCTTTGCTCTTGACGCTCTTTCCCCTCGCTGTTTGTAGAGAAAGCCAGATTGTTTTTAAAATAAATAAATGAGATTGGAGAAACCCAAATCAAGGATAAACGAAAGTTCGAATACTTATTTCGCTCATTTGAATACTAGTCATTTTGTATATCTTGTACATAATTTTAAGCTCCAGCCGAAGAACACGCCAAATGTCATGACCCGCTTCACCGCACCCATCTCTTTTCACGCTTAGTGCTATCTATTTGTTCCGTCTAGTTCGCGACGAGAAGATAGCTGAGCTGTGAGAATATTGTACTAATAGAAATATAACTGAATGGCAGGTTTGAATCATTAACTTCTTTTTTTAGAATCTTTTTTATAGTTTTAATCGCATCAATTAAAGGGGCTGTGTCACGGCAGTCCAGTTAATTTCCTTAATTTTGCGAATTACTCGCCCTCAATCGCTATGGAACTTAAAGTAAGCAAAGAAATTACATGAAAATGACAAAATCAGAGATCCATGACAAACAAATAATCATGTCTCCTGAGCATTGTTTTTGAAGTTGCAAGCAGCAGGGATCAACTTTGAAAAACTGTTAGGGTGAACAGTTTTCAAAGACCCTAAGTTCAGTCCCTTTCAATCTTCTTCAGTTTTGCCCATTCCTGGCATCTGTTGTTTCTGTTATGTTATTTTAACCTTCCTTTAAAGTTTTAAGCGGTTATTTTTATGTTTCTTTTAATTTAATGGGTATTTTGTAATTTCCTAATTTGGCTGAACTTCGTGACAGCTCCTTTAAAGCAATAATATATAATCCCATATGATTTGAAAATTGGGTCAATTTACGTCATAAATGATATTATTACTTCTCCCCATAAAGCCACTGCTAAAATAAGAGAAAGGAAGACAGCAAGTGATTCTCAAAGATCTAGATTAAACATTTCCTCTAATGTAAATTAATTAATGAGAAAGGCTTGGACAATATGTTAGGGTTCAAAAATTAAAAAAATCACGTCGATTTTTGTTAAAACTAAACTAGTGAGCAGCACTCTGCGAACTGTTGCTGTAAAACTTGTTTATTCTCCTACGCGTTTCGTCTAACTAACGTGGACTTCTTCAGGGAGTTTTACAATCAAATACTAAACGCCTGTATTTAAGCCATAATATGACTAAAAATAATGATGGCCGCAAACATTGAAGTTTTGTCCGGATTTACGAAAAGGAACAGGCGCAGCTGTGAAATTTTTTACGCAAGGCGTAAGAATACTTTGGGGCCACGGTTTTAGCTAAAACCGTCTCAGGTAATTTTGTCTCAGAATGTAGGCCTGTACCCTCACAGGACCATGCGAGCGTAGCCAGCAGTTTGCCTTGTTTTTTTTTTTCCTCAACAACACTTTATTACACATTTACATACAAAGGAAAAATTACAAACATTATAAAAGAAATGAAAGAATTACAATTTGCAAATTAAAATTATCGAAAATTGCAATTTAAATTATCTTCACACTTATATATGAAAAATCAGTAACTCTTTTATTTTTTTTAGTTTTTATTTTTACTTAACATAGTAAGGTACTTGACGAAAAGTATATTTGCCAGTATGATGAATTATTTCACATATATTATACGCAAACATATCCACAATGGCTTTAAAAAGGAAAAACAAACAAACAAACAGACAGACAGCTAAAACAGTTAAAGTATTTAATCTTTAATCTACAGAGCGCCGCCTACGTTTCACCTCCGCAGAATAATACATTCGTTTAAAGAGCGGAGGTTTTTAATCGAGACCATTTCTTTATAAGTGTCTAAGGAATTATGGTCTTTTGCAATTTGCCTTTCTATTTCCAAAGAGCGTTAAGCTATTTCTATGTACATTTGGACATTTGGGCGCGTATCTCTTTGTTTACAGGTGTAGATATAATGCCTAGCAATAAGTAGTAAATGGTGCAGTACTAAATCTTCTGCATTTTTATAAGCCAAATAAGAGACACCTGAGAGGTTGAATTTTTCTACTTTGGAGGTGTTTTGCATTATCCATTGATAGCAGTCTTTCTAAAAGGCGTTAGAATATTTACAGGTCCAAAATAAGTCAACCAGTTTTCCGTCGCTTCTCCACAGAAGGTGCAGGAATCAAACAGTTTAATTCCTATTTTGTAGAGAAAATCATCGGTTCTCTCTCAGTTTAGTTTCCTTAGTACGTCAAAATGGTAATGAGTATGTGCTTTCCCAATTAACCGCCTCGTTTCCTATTGAGTCCTCAGCCGACCATTTACCTTGGCTTTTAAGTGGTGTTGAAGCCTTTTTTTTTTTTTCAATGAGGTGCTGATAAGCTTTTTTGCAGAATTTTGTAGGGGTTAGGATAGTTTTAGTCGCATCTTTGGTTTGGTCGTTACCATTGATGGGCAGTACTATACTATCATTAGAATAAAGCCTCGTTGGTGGATTCCCTTTGGGTTCTCTTCATTACATGTGCAGCTTTCCGTCGGGTTCCCTAGGTTTGCCCAGTAAGTAACTTGAGCCTGCTAGGGAACATGTCTTGAAGTAGGAGTGACGTCAATGAGAAGAATGAGGACAAAAGAGAGCTTACGTCAACGAGGACTGACGTAAATTGAGTACTGACGTCGATACAGTGTCTAGCTAGCTAGGAAAAAGTGCCTTCCTCCATACTAATTTAAGTGCCTTCTTAGGAAAAATAGACTTGCCCGGTAAGCAACTTGAGCCCGGTTTAAACATCTATTAAAAGAGAAATAGGAATAAGAAAGAGATCACCTAGCAACGCGAGAAACGGCTTTCTATATTTTATTAAGCGCTAAGAAAAATCGGAAATATCAACAAGACACATACACAAAGTGGGGGCTAAAAACTAAGTCTTTATTTCAATTTTAGGGAACTTAAGAACCACGACGACGGCTTGGTCGACGACGACCGGAAGTGAGTTACAGTGTACTGCGCAAGCGCGACTAGTAAATTTCGTCGTCGTGGTGTCGTCGACGACGCCAAACAAAGTAGAGTCACGTCGTCCTGCAATCCACAAGCTTCGGCAGGTATAAATCCACTGTTTTAAGCGGTTTTTGAAGTCCTTTGCATTTTCTTTTCGTCGTAAATCCAGGTATCGTTCCTTTTTTCTCCTAACAAGCGATGTTGATTGAAAATTCGACTAATGAACTGATTTTTACTTCGAAGAATGACAACAGCTGTGGAGGCCGAGCGAGCGAACTCGTAAGTGATAAATTTATTTGTACGTATTTAGGTAAGATAAATCATATATCTTTCATATAGAGGAAATAAACTTTATATGGAAAACAGCTATCACATCAGAATATCTCTTTTTCGAAATCTAAACTCTGACAGACACTCGGACTCGGTCATGTGATTCAAGTTGAAAGTTGAATAATTTCGTGCGGAAAGTAGGTGTTTTTACACTCGAAAAGGTCAGACAACACAAAAAATTCTTCATCGTCAATGAAATTAGACGTACGGCTTAAAAAAAAAAAATCTTGCATTAACTTTGTTGCGAACGAACATCACAGTTTTACATTTGTGTTTACATTCAGTGTCGTCGTCGTCGACCTACCGACCGACTGCATCTTAAGTTTCCTTTTTCCCGCCGAAACTGACGTTCTCGTTCCAGTCTTTTCCCAGTCAACAGATGTCGTCGTCGTGAACTTCGTCGTGGTTCTTAAGTTCCCTTTTGTCTGACAATAACAGAACCGTTTTCTCCTATCTACCTCCAGGACGTGAAAAACGATTAAGGTCTTGTCATTTTCATGCACGGTTAGTCAGTTAATTATGCGAGGTCACCAGTCCAAAGTTGAATACAAATTAGTTCTACAAGGAAAAACCCCGTGAGAAAAACTTGACATATTAGTATAAAAACAATTTAAAATAACTTAACAAGGATCGATAAATTGACAAGACAAGAGAAACCTTTTTAAAAACTCTATTAAAAACCAATGACAAAAAGAGTCAAATACACACAGCGATTTCAAGCGGATGGAAATTAATTAATATTCATCTTCTTCGCCCATAGAGTACTTGTAAGGTTTGAATTTGTTATGCCGACGTTTCCTCAGCTGTTTGGCATGAGCTTTATGATCATCCAAATAATTTACAAATTGAATCAGACGCCTTTTGCCCTTCGGGCCTTGTTGTGATGGGGTTTCTACTGTGGGAGGAGGGGTCAGGAAAGCAGGATTTAAGGGTGGTGGAGGGGCGAGGCTTTCTTTGTCAAGTTTTTGAGAGATAGCCGCTTGTGTTAATAGACCTTTTTACAGATACGGCGGCCATCTTGAATTAATTCGATTTAAGGAGTATTATAGGATGCCCAGGGGGCATGAGCACATTTCGTTTGTATTTTCGAGCGCTTTTCGGGACATTTTTTCTTAAAGTTTTCTTAGAATAAGATTATGATGGTCTTTCACTGTATATTTCTCGGCAAAAAAGGCGATCATTATTACATCCTGCACAAAAGCCGTAGGAATTCCCTGGACGAATTCAATGTGTAGCATGGCGACTAGCATTTCTGTATACGCGGCCTGCCATTGTGAATAACACCAAACGATCCTCTCCGGGGGAGGGTAAATGGTATCTGAAGCTTGTTGCAATAGAGATCGAACCCAGGCCGTTTTTCCGGACACGGTCATTCCGGTGATAATGTAGGTGAAAGGATGCTCGAAGCGAAACCGCTGACATTTCTGTGAAAACATTGGCACTGTTTGAAATGGGTTGAGACCAGCTTGCGGTGTGTAGAAATCAAGTGCCTTTGCATGCTATGTTATCTACTAAAGGATTTTTGGCAAACGGAACAGAGCCAACTCATTTCAACTCCTCAGGAGCAGAATGTAGACTGAGAAAGAGGAAGAATGTGGAGCATTTATATAGGATTTCAGGCCATAAAATTATATTATTTTCTTCCAGCACCACCAGCACCACCACCGCCACCACTACATTTCTATTGTTTTCCTTCCTCCACCACCACCACCACATCACTATTGATTTCCCTCCACCTCCACCACTACCGGCTCCACCACTGCCACCATCACATTTCCATTGTTCCCTTCCACCACCAGCGCCACTACCATATTTCTATTGTTTTCCCTCCACCACCACAACCACCTCATTTCTATTGTCTTCCCTCCACGAGATTCTATAAAAGACTACCAACTGCCATTCTTAGTTCATTTTGTAGCAATATCTCGTGTAGTGAACAACAATCGTGGTTTTCCTCAACTGTTAGCTGATCGCCCTGCTTTCTCGACAGCAACTACATGCACTAGTCCAAGTCTTATACAATATGGTTGTGGGACACATTCCCATCCCCGCAGAAAATAAGTGGATATTGCTGCCATATAAGGATGCTTTACTTGACCTGGCCAGTCCAAATGTCCCTTACAAAACAAAGAAGCGAGTGCTTGTACAAGAGGGTAGTGGTTTTATTGAAGATGTATTAGCCCTTATTGTTTCAAGCTTAGGAATTTTAATGCTATAAAAGAGGTAACGCATCGCTACGTTGAACATTCGAAGCGAAGTCTGTCACTGGTACTCATCAAAATGAAGAGAAAGATAGATTTGGTTGAAGAAGAACACGAGAGTGAACATGAAGTTCTGGTGATGAAAGCGGCGAGGATGAAGAATAAAAGAAGAACCAAAAGAAAAAATGTTTTGAGTCATCTTTCCCGTGCAGTGTCGGAAAAGCGTGCTTCTGATTTGCTGCATATTATGGCCGCTTCCAAAGATATCCTTTTCTGGACTCCCGGCGGACAATTACTTCGAAATAAACGCACTATTCCCGTCAAAAACATCGCCGAGCTAGATGAGTATGTGTTACTCCCTCATAACAATGAGGTTACCAAGCCTTGTGCGCTGAATACTTTTTAGATGGACTTGCACAGTCAGGAATCGATAAAGGTTTAATCAAGAACAAAAAGTTATTAAGTGATTTAATAGAAAAGGAAAAAGGCCACCGAACTGTAGAAAATACTCCGGATAACGACAGTAATAATGAGGAGAGTTCATCCGATATTGAAAATCAAGAGGAGGAGGAGGAAGTGGCTTCTGAGAATGGCGCTGAAGCTGAAGGCACCCAAGAGAGCGACAACGACACTGAAAACAACAGTCAGAAAACAGAAAGTAGTTATGCAGCCCTGAAACGTCCACCACCTTTCAATTTAAAAGTCTCTGTGAACATTGCGAAAACTCTAATCGAAAACTCTAAGAAGACCCTCCGGGAAGCCCTCTAATTTATTTTATTTTAAACAACATTTGGTCAGGTGTGCCCAGTTCAGCGAGGCTGGTTTGAATGAGACCCTGATGAAAAAGAAAAAACAACACACAAGACATAATGATAAAAAATGTTAAAAACTTAGGATAACAAAAGTAAGGGCGGCTCATTTAGGCTTGGATTTAAAGCGCCTTTTTAGGAAAAACGCAAACTTACTAATATCATGCTCGCTCCTCAGGGCCAGAGGAAGCGTGTTCCAGGTCTTGGCTTCGCTGAACCTGAAGGAGCCCCGGTACTTAGTTGTCCTAACAAGTGGCAGGCGGAGCAAATCTCTATGGTGCGTGTTATATGAATGGAAATCGCGCATCAGTGGCTAAATTCATTTTGTAATTATGCTGGAGCCAGGCCATGAAGGCTTTTAAACGCTAGCATGCACTTTAGATATATAGTCCCGGCGGGACTGGAGCGTAGGCAAACTGAACATGCGAGATGTCTGCAATTGTGAAACTGTAGCCTTCAGTAATACTGGCGGCACGCCTATGAAGGTTGTCCAAGGACTCTCGGTCAGTCTTACCACAGGAGTGGTCCGCAAATTTTGCAAAAACAAAAACACTTTAACAAATATCGAATCAATACCAAGAATAACAAATTTAGCAAACGTTCATACTTATAAAGAACAAAAGTTAAGGAAGGCTCTCTAATGATCCGCACACTTCGCAAAAATGGCAAAAGTATAAAAACAAGAATTTTCATTGCAAAAATAAAAACACTTTGACAAATATCGAATCAATACCAAGAATTACAAATTTAGCAGAAGTTCATACTTATAAAGAACAAAGGTTAAGAAGGTCCCTCCAACTTGTTACCAAGTAGTTTATTTTAGTTTTGTTTTCGAGTTTTGGCATTTTGAAGGTTTTTCTTATTTTTAGGGTATCCGAATGATTATTTTGTAGTACGTGCTAGTTTCTTAATAAACTGTTCAAGGAAATTCAATGTATAGCCCACACGTTTAGTTCCTTGAGCTTTTGAGAAGAATCGTCTTTATGAAGGATTTGTTAAAATTAGTTGTAGATCTTTGAAGTAGGCATATTCGGGATTATAGCTGACCTTGAGTTTTACCTATATTGAAGTTACTGTTAATTTGTATACTTTGTCCCACCTAGCGAGCAGTTTTACCGCTTCAATTGGTTCTTTGGTACTGTCAATTACAACAATGTAGACTATTCTGTTCTTCGCAAGTTAAGCGAAAGGATATGAGATGGAAAGTTCTCACGGTCAGCTAACCCAAACACGTCTACAAGTAGTAGTTGCAAGTAGCAGTTGCTGCTAGATGAAGAAGAAGAGTTGTTGTAGCTGCTGAACGATGAGAAGAATAAAAGATTTAGAAGAAGAAGAACAGAGTCTTGGTTCCTTCGTTAACTAGCCAAGCGAGAACCTTACAGTCCCTAACATAATTGGTGGAGAAGTTCAAACTTATAAAGAACAAAGGTTAGAAGGGTCTCCAGAAGTCCACAAATTTCGCAAAAATCGCAAACGAAAATTTTCATTGCTAAGAAAGAAACAAGCTAACAAATATCGCAAGGCTAACAAGAATATCAAATTCAGCAAAAGAGTAAAGGTAAACAAGGCCCTCTAACGGTCCGCAAATTTCGCAAAAATCAACAACAACAACAACCAAAATTGTTCCAATTTGCAAAAGTTCAGACTTGTAAAGAATAAAGGAAAAGAAGGCCTTGGGTTTCGCAAAAGTAAAAAGAATAGCCAAGAATTGCGCATTAAAAAGAAGGGCAAAAAGGGGCCAAGACACCCGCACGTCAGTGTTTCTTCCCGACCCATAGATATAGGAATGTCAAAACCCAGTGCTCACAGACGGGCGCAAATGCCAGCAACAAACGTAAACGTAAGTAGAACGTTTCATGGCCAAGAACCCACCATAAAAAACGTCCCAAAGTAACAAGAATAGTAAAAGGCGAAATCTGCCAAATTTTCGAGTCCCTTCCTTGCCTTTTCTCTTTCTAGCCCTAGAATTTTGCTATTCTTTGCGATATTTGTTTCTCAGTCTTTTTTCATAGCAAGAAAAATTCTTGTCACTTTTGCGCTTTATGCGAAATTTGTGGCATTCTCGACAACCTGCTTGACCTTTTTTATTTCTAAGTGTAGAATTTTGCTAAATTTATTATTCTTGCCTTTTTTGCGGAATTTGCGACCTTTCCGAGGCCCTTCTTTGTCTTTTCTCTTTGAAGTCTGAAAACTTTGTTAAGTTTGTTTACTGTTGCTACTTTTGCAATATTTGTTACTCAGTCTTTTTAGATATCAAGAAAAATTCTTGTTTCTTTTGCGAAATTTGTAAAATTTGCGGCCTTCTTGAGACCCTTCTTGGCCTTTTCCCTTTCTAAGTCTAGAATTGTGTTCAATTTGTTATTCATGCTATTCTTGCGATATTTCTTACCCTGTCTCTTTAGATTACAAGGATATTTCTTGTTACTTTTGGGAAATTTGCGACCTTTCCGAGGCCCTTCTTTACCTTTCCCATTGTAAGTCTAGAATTTTGTTAAATTTGTAAGTCGTGCTATTTTTGCGATATTTCCAATTAAGTGTCTCTCACTATTTCTTGGAATCATTTTTTTTGCTAAAATTGCGAAAAAAAATTGCGTTGCAAATTTATGCTACTGCGTTCGATCATGGGTATAGCTCAAATTTTCACGAATCCTTTGTCTCGCATTTTCCAGAAGAGACTTGAGCATAAAAACCAGACCAAATATTATAGAAGAATAACCAGAAAGCCTCAGAGTCATTTTAAAATTTTGATATATCGAACGTGGGTTATTGTTTATAGAGGAATCTATTGCACTCATGTCATATCTTCAGTCTCTCAAGGGGGGGTCAATAGAGACGTTATTATCTCTCCGCATGTTTGGATTGCGCGCAGAACAAACAGGGATCAACTTTATCTCAGTATCCCGGCGCGTAGCTGGAGTTTTAGAAGGGGTGTTCGTTTTGAAATTGAAAGCCAAATGCGGACCAAGCACTTTCAGGAAGAAAAGGAAAAACTTAGCAAAAATACAAGTATTTCAAAACACGTTTCATTTCAAGGCTCGAACTGAAGAAAGCGTTATGATTCTGCTTGTATGAATAAAGAAAATCTCTTGACAGATATAGATACAGATAAGTTCGCTCTTATATTTGACTCTCCTGTTCTCATGTGTGTTTTTGCGTTCCTTTCAATAAAATGATATCTCAGTGAAACCAGAAGGAATAAAGAATGAAAAGACAGTTTAGAAATTTTCCTAAGACTTTGTTTAAGGTACACGCTCTATGCGTCCGGTCATGGGTATTCATAAACTAAACATCCTTGCGTAAAGACTTCCAAATAGAGTACGTGACAATTTCTTCCAAATCATCAGGTAAATCATACCTGATATGCATTACAGCAAGGGAGGAGAGCCTACTCTCGCCCGTGGTACACATTGTTATTCAACGTGCACTAACTCAATAGTTCATGTATATTGCTTCGAACTTTGACAGTGTACCCAAGTCTTCTTAGCAATGCTTATTAAGAATTTAAGCTACGACCGTAATAAAGTTAGCAGTTTTCCGAATTTTTCCAGGGTTTTCTGGAACCTCAATATTTACGTTCCAAAGATAGTCCGTCCGAACCCCTCAACCCTCCCCCCCCCTACTACGCGCCTGGTATCGTAGATAGAAAGTATGTTTTTACCTTTCACGTAAAGCTGCTGGCGAACCAAACAAACAAACGAACAAACAAACAAAACAAACAAAACTGCAATAGTCGGCGTTCAAACCTTTTCCTAACTCACACAAAAAGAAATTGCACAAACTGGACTCTTTAAGGTTATAACTTGCTATGTCAACTAAGGTCCGGTCACGCCCGAGTAGCCTCGGATTATCTTCACGATCCAGCTTCTCGCTCACGCTTTGTCGAGGCATCTAGCTCATCGTCACCAGTTTCTAAGCCCTCGTTCTGACGTCCTTTGAAAAGGTTCACTATATATTGATGGTAATCTGTTTCATCATTTTCCTGTCTCTCATTACTATTAGGATGCACTTCGTTGGCATTTTCTTCTGCAGCTAACTCAAAAGAAGGGTTCTCGGCTGCTAGACCCGGGTTTTCATTTCCAGTCACTGCCAGCTGCAAATCGTGGCCACCTTCATCTTTCTTGTTTATGTTGCCTAGTCTTTCTGTGCTAACTCTGACTGAGGGAGATGGGGTAACTGAAGGCTTCCAACACAGCAAGGACATATAAACAGGCATAATGCACAGACCGTGAATAAGACCAAACCCGACGATTCCAAGGAACATTCGGAAAAAGATTCGAAATATCTCGGACGCAGCAAATGCTAAAACGATCATTCCAAGGAAGGTACTGAAACCTAAACCACACACAAAAACATAAAAATAAAAATAGGCAAATAAATAAATAAAAACCAAGAATAAGATCGAGCCGCACTATAGATTTCGCATTATTTGTTTTCAGTTTTTCACATTGGTGACTAAATTGGTGACACATTGGACAGTGTTTTTCGCGCTTTGATTGGCTACTCAATCTTTGAATACCCAGCGCTATTCACTGATTCGCCACCAGTTCCTCCGAGCGAGCGACGCCAAACTGGCGTAAATTACGAGCAAAATGGCTTCCCGGTTTGCTGCCATGACAAACAAAGAAATTTCTCAAATAATCAAACAGCCTGTTCCTGAAATACACGAAGAAGGTGACGCAATTTGGTTTGGGAGTTTTAACAAGGAAAGCTTTGTCTGTTTGACTTGAATTTATCGATGAAACCTGTGAAAAAGTTTTTTGTTTACAAATGCAAATGAAGCTTAAGTCTTGCGTTACTTTGTTTAGGTTACATGTTCAAAAATAAGCTTTAAAGTAAATTTAATACTTTTTTTACATAATGGTTTAATTAAAAGAGAATTCAAAACTCCTTTTCCAGAAATTTCCCCGAAAGAGCTCAACAAATACCTTCAAAAGTTTTATTTGTCAACAAGAAAACACGACGGCCGTTCGGTCATTGCGCGCCAAAATTGTAACGAGATCGTTAACAACAGTAAATGAGTTAAAAATATCATTTTTTTGCTCAATTATCTCACTGTTTTTGTATATAATAAAACAATTCACCGAAGTGGAGGTGACTAAGTAAATACCTACCACTAGCCACCGATTAATTGTTATCTATGCCTTCGTCGAATACTGGCTTCATACAAGTGTAAAATTTGATGTTCACGAGAAAGGTTAACCCACGAAAGGCTCCCTCGTGATTCGAAAGTAAAAAATCCCAAGCATATCCCTCAAATCACGCTCGCCGATATTATTTTCGCCGGCCGGTTTACCTTTAATTTTGCAATACTTCTGTATGTGACGTACCATGTTTGCAACCCACAGTGACCCGCCCAAATAGAGACGCACGCGTTCTTTAAATGCTTTTAAACTAGATTCGCCTGCCGTTAATTTGATTATGTTCCACCGCCACGTTGAGACCGATACTCTGTGCTTGTATTAATAAAGAAGTAATGGTGCTACGTGAAGGCAAAGATCCTCATTTCACGACATTAGCTTCTAACAGTACTCATAAGACTGAGAAAAGTGACACGGACGGTGCGCTTATTTTACCAGCATCGGGTGTTTAAAGGTATACGTAAAGCTACACGGAAAGGAAAGAAGTCAAAACAAGGATTTAAAGTCACAGCTGGGAATGGAACTCGGAAACTTCAGCACAGAACGCTGCGTACTAACCGACTTTGCTAGTCTGGCTCTCTCCTTGCTCTACATCAAAATAAAACTCTATAGGTAGGTTATTTAAATGAAGTCTTAGACTGAGGTTTAGGAAATCTTTGGACCTCCAGGCCTCGGTTGTTCAAGCGTTGGATAGAGCTTTCCACAAGATGAATCACTATCCAGCGGATAAGTATTAGGAGGGTCTCAACGTGGTGGTAGCTTTGGCGGTTCACGGTTATTTTTTTTTTCGCCATTTTGACGGTTGACGGATAAATGTTAGAGCCAATGAGGGTTGACCGTTATTTAGTGAAAATTTTGTCCAAGATCGAGTTCGAGTTAAAGGTAAGATTAACTTATGTATAAATCAATATTAAACGTTGTGTTTTTGGAGGTTGGCTTCGCTTTTCACATATAAAATTTCGAAATATTTTATGATATAAGAAAGTTGTAAGGTCTTGTAATGTTCAGAGATAGTGTTTTTGAGAAGATGGCCGGTGGTTTTTCTAGTTAAAAGATTCTTCAGGAGCCACGTCCGTGAAAATCAGCTGAAATAGTGAGATTTGAAATACCTTGAAACGTTTTGACGGTTAATATTACTCTACATTTTTGACGTAGACAGTTAAATTTTAGGCCGTTTGACGCCTGATGGTAACCCCATTGAGACCCTCTATAAGGGAAATTAATTGCGTTATCCACTGGACAAAGATATATCCAGTGGATAGCGTTATCCAGATTTTGCACAAGCGGGGCGAGATCTCTACCGCAGTGGGTTATTTCAAGAAGGCAAATGCTTTTATAGTCTTCACCATATGCTTTCTTGAAGCTGTTCATCATAAATGGTTTTGAAATAAAGAGTTCGGCGAAATGAAAATGACTTAGAACGCGGTTTTGTTAGACACTGGCTAAATCCCCTTTAAATAAGAGGCCCTATTATTCCAGTTAAAACTAGGTGATCTGTAGGTGTCCGCTTTTGGAGCATTTTCGTTGTATAGCAGTGTCCAAGGTCCGTTATGATAGGGTTGACTGTACATTGAATGAAGTTGACTTACCTCCCATGAGCACACTTGCACCCAGAGTACTCAGAGCATCTACCACTCGGTCATTTGCTGATAACTTGTTGGAAAAAACGTAGCATGCGCAATGTGTGCGCTGTAATCAACTGCAAAACCAATAGCCATAACAAGATTTATCATGGACACAGCGTTGAGTGACACACCCCAAATAACCATTAAGCCAAACAGTTCACATATCAGAGCGGCAAAGTTGAACAACACGAGGATTGCCACTGTGCAGTCAACCAAAAAGGGACTGGTGACAACAAAGACTGTAATGGCAGCGATTATGAGGTTCCGTATAGTTTCACGTGATGTGATAACATACTGTTCAAAGAAAACAAATGCACTTGTAATGGGGAAGGCCTTGAGGTTGGACTTAGTTTCAAGATCTTTGCGAAGTGATTGCATAGCATTTTTTTGGAATGTAGACTCGCCGTTGCTTTTCATGAAACCGATAATGCGCGAAGCTTCTAGCTCGGAGCCATCAGTAGAAAACTTCAGATCCTGAGCGAAGAATAAAAACTCTGTTTGATTGAGAAAGGCTTCCAGATTAGGCAAAAATGCTGGACCGATAGCGCTGATGTTAGCCATTTTAGCAAACTTTGCGAAATGGTCCATCCACGACAAAGATCTGGATTGATAATGTTCATTGTTGTTCACAATGTTTGTTAGGTTTTTGATAGCTTCCTGTGCAGAGGGTTTCTCATAACCTGCGTTTCCAGTTATCACAATGCTGACTTCGATGGAAAGTTCAAAGTGCTCTGCTTCAGCGGTCAGAAATCGTTTCCAGTACGAATCATCTTTCGCTAGGATCCTTCTGTCGAATTTCTCGTCTACTTGTAAGACTCCATATATTCCAGCCCCAAGCAAACCCAGAGATAAAACGATAACGACCACCTTTGCCACCGGATAGGTAAGAAACCTGCCCCAGGTCCCCATAACGCTATTCGATAACTGTGGGCTAGGCTCGTCCCAGGCTGGTGCGCCCTCCTTTGGCTGAGGTGCTTGGCAGAATGGTAAGCAGTCTCGACGACCTGATTTTATTCTCTTTACGTCGTATGTCATGATGGCCACGAAATAGGTGATGATCATTATGTAGGAGAATGTCACCGTTAGAGCCGCATAGATACAAAAATACCTGATAAATAAATGACTAGAGTTAGTGTTCTTTTAAACAAAACGGAACCTGTATGCGCAATTCACTTGTACGTACATTACATTCATGAGACATGACAAGCAAATCTCAACATGGTCTGTGAAGGGTTAGAAAAAGGATTCCTTTCCGATCTGTATGGGCGTTAACAATGCAACAACTTAGCCTGTCGACAGACCCCCTATCTTCTCTTAAGAGATTTTCGAGCGCGCGTATGAACTAAGATAAAAATCGCGGGAGAAGAACGTCTGTGGACAGGTGACCAGAAACTTTGTTTTCATTATTTCGTCAAAACAGTAAACGTTCACACAGAAAGTCTCTTGTCTTAAGGCTTGAAATTTATATTTATAAGGCCCTAACCTTATTGCAGGAAAAGAGGTGGAAGTACTAACTGCAAACGCCACCAGGTCAGTCACAGTTGTCATGGTAACGGTGGCACCTGAATGGGCCATAACAGCTCTGATTATTTCGGTCAGTGACATGTCCCGTGGCTGCCGATCAAGTTCATCCACTAGAATAAACATGTCATCGATTCCAATTCCAAGAACTAAAAACGGTAAAACGCCCACGATACTGATGAAAGGAACCCGACACCACATGGCAAGGCCGAACCCAGATAGTATCCCAAGGGCCACTGCGAACACCCCTGCGTTAGCGAGTAAGGAGTGACCGGTCAGCGGATTCACAAATTTGCCAAGCATGACGCAAGCAAATGTGATCATGAGAGTGAAAGTGATTGACACCAGTGTGACGTCAGAGCCACTGCTTTCGGCGATAGCGTCGTCTAAACTTCTCCCGCTTGAGTAATGAACTTTAAAACATGAGAGGGTACCGTCTAACGACTCCAGTTTGTCAATAAACGTTTTTTCCCACTCCAGAACTTTGTCGTTTTCTTTTTCATCGCTTAAGTCACTCATTAGATACACCATTTGCAGTGCTGCGGCTTTTGAGAAAGTTCCATCTTTGTTTTTAGTTGCGCGACCAAAAGTACGATTAAAATTGTAGGAGAAAGTCCGGCCATTCCTCGCCAAAGGGCGTGAGCTGTTGTATGCTTTCGATATTTCCTCTTGAACTTGTTCCAGGGTCATTTTACTATCGATTTTGCTCTCATTAAACTTCAAAAATTCGAGCGGGTTAATTATCATGCAGTCGTCCTGCGTCTTCGCCTTGTCCCCTGATAGTGTGACACAGAATTCAGAGTATGATTCTAACTCCATAACAGCATGATGTGCCTTGAAGGCCTGCCGCAGACAGTCAGGAACCAGAACATTGCGATCAGCAGAAGATGCTGTTAAAAGGACGATTTCTTCGCGAATTTTTACTCGAAAGTATTTCTCGGCTTTATCTAAATCATTAATAGAACGGCTGCTTTGAGGAACAAATAGCTTTACTGTTCTGTTTTCTGCCTTGAACCAGACAAAACCCACGGAACAGATGCTGACGAACACGAGACATATTGAGATGGTAATTAGCGGATGTTTAGCGATTCCTTCGCCGAACCAACCAAAAAATCTTTCCAATAGACGCATATACCACCTGCAGAAACTTGACCACCAGTAACATGGACTGAACTTGGATTGACAGCAACAACTACGAAGGAAAAAGAAAATAAATTGGGAAATGTTTTACATCAAATGTGTTCTCATATTAAAATTTTTCTGTTTAAAAAGTCTACAAAATAAAAAGTAAACTTTCTCAAATCTTTACGAACAGTAACCTTAATATAACCGCTAACGGTGGTGCTGGTTCTTTTGATCCTTATATTGTAACAACGGTGCTTTGAGACGCCACGAATCGATCATGAAAAAGTTATAAAACGTTCTACCGCTGAAAAGAATAAGACGATAAAAATTCTGAAAGCGTACGAGCATAAAAATGCAGTTGTCTTACAAAACTGATTGGGCAATTTATGCCCAAAAGAATCTTACATTTTATTCGGGAAAGTGTAAGAAGTGTTAGCAGTGTGCTTTTCATGAGAGACGAAATGAAGGTGTTTTCCGTCTGCAGATTCCCAAAAGTGGTAAGTTTCTTGTGAGGAGAATCCGCTGAGAAAAGTCGAACAAGGTAACCGCCGGATTGATGCGGATTCGCAATTTGCACATCTCCCATAATACACTTTGTTCGCTCCCAAAAATTTTGCATAAGCATTGCCCTCAATTTCTCTTGGGACGACTGTAATACCCAAGAGAAATTAAATACAAAGGTTGTGCAAATTTTTGGGGGGGTGTTGGGAAAGGGGGGTGGGGCGCAAACAAGGTGTATTTTGGGAGCTGTGCAAGTAGCGAATAAGAGAGTTCCCAAAGACAATCATAATTCGGAGCGACTAGATTATAAATCACTAGAACCGCTGTCACATGCTAGCAAACTTTTGTTTGTTCGATTTGTTAACACGATAGTCAATCATGAACATTCAGTATCCAATTGTCACTTTGCAGTAGAGGCGGACATGTTGGTTGACAAAGACGAAAGTATTTCCCTCTGCGGTGAGCTAGACTCATTCTTTCTTCAAAATCTGGCGAAAAGATGTTTCTTTTAAAAATCAAAATAGATTGATCGATGGGTAAATTCAAACCAAGAATATACGCAATACAGCAACAGACCTGACTAGACCCAGTCGACAAGTAAAAATTTCAAAAACCAACCGGGACGGCAACTTACCGTATTTTCTTATTTTTACAATCCTCAACGTTTTTATACATAAAGCCGGACAAAGCCAGCGCTTAAGTGTGTCCTGCATATTAAACCCAAACTTAGAAACTCGAACGTTTTGTTTGCGATAACTGAATTTCAGTAACAGGACAAGACCTAAGTGTAACTTGAGCATACCCCATGTGGATGAAGTGGCAGGATATTCTAAGTTAAGCCGAGACTGATGCTGTTTCCGGCCAGCCATAATCCCCAAATCAGGTTTGGGGATTTGAGAAAATCTGTATTTCATTTTCGCCTCAGCTCTGTTCAATGCCTTTGTCTGTCGTATTAAACTTAGTAAAGCATACTTTTTCCGCTTTCGCTGTATCCATGTTTACGGAAATATTTTTGCGGCATGCAATCAATCATTCTCAAAATCGGGATCAGCTCAGACTCGTGCACTCCACTCGATAATTATCCTATCTCCCTTCAATCAATCACTTCGGGCTAGCTAGTTGCCCAGACTGGTTCCACTCTTCGTCTCCACTGAGAAACGTTTCGACTTTCCAAGGCGTAATTTGGCTCGTCTATTTGCATCCTAACGTCTTGTACACACTAATGGCTATGGAGGTCTGTTTAGACACCCGACACGAGAATAGCCAGAGGTAGGTCACTCAGCACTATTTCATGCCGTACAGTTTATAATTCATTTGTTGCGATCTTACTAAAAAATAAAGATCAGTTTTCAAGTACATTCAAACATATATAGGCCACAACCCTGTTTTGCAAAAATGTTTACCAAAAACTTAAGGCTCCGTTTAAAAATTTTCCTTCACAAATTTTCCTTCATGGAATTTTAAATATCGTGTGACGGAAAGCTAGATCGTATAACTTATGCCCTCTTGATCACTTCGCTTTGCGCCCGGCGGAATACGAAATTACGACGATTATGGACGAAATAAACCTCTCAAGACAACTCAAAAGCCGCCCACAGCCGGCCGAAAAAAGGGGTTGGCGAAAACACACAAACCAGTAGTTTATCGGAGAATACAACTTGGATTATATTCAATTTGTAAATTTGAGATCGCGGTAAACCACAATGATGCACCCGGGACCAGGACAATAGGCTGCAATGTTCTCGTAAAACCTCGTAGAGAGGGTAGTTGAAATGAATAACAAGCCAGATTAATGTTTCAAAGATGTTTTCGAGATGCTTGGCGAGTTAAAAATAAAAAAATACCAACAGATACCTCTGGTGTACGGCGTTGTTTCTCGTTGTTTCTCCGTCGGACTGATTGCAAATCGCTTCTTCGCGTCTTGTTGCCATTTTGGAAAGCTAAATCTCTGAAGTTAATTTCATGGTCTCTAGATATTTCTCAGTTGCAACGAAGCGTTTCGCTCATGAGATTTGACCATTTTCATCGACCTTTGAAGTAGGCCGGAGCAGTTGCTAAAACACACATCGTCCTTGACACATTGGAGAGCCTATATCGTTCTTTATGCAAATTTCTGTTCAAGAAAAAAAATGTTGTTTACGCAAACTAGCTTTCCATTGGGTAAGATGATGGCGGTGTTTATTCCTTAGATTAACATTAGTAGCGTGATTAAAATAAAGCGACAGTTTCTTAAAGCAAAAGTGTCGGGCTAGTCCTGCAGGGTCCTACAGAGAGAGACGAGTCTTAATAGATGTGACGCAGCTGCACAGCTTATAACTAAAAAAAATACAACCGTATTATTCTTTCGCACGAATTACATTAATATACTTCAAACACTAAAAGAGGGTATAAAATACAACGAAAAGATAAAAAAGGATAAGATATCTTTCTAAGAGGCTGCAGGGAGCGATGAAACTGGTCTGATCACAATCTCATTGGGACGGCCAAATTAGTTGGCTTGAATGATAGAGATGACTGCTTCATAGAGGGTCTCAATGGGGTTAACCGATAGGCGTAAAACGGCCAAAAATTTAGTCGATAGCCGTAAAAATTAAAAAAAATTTAACCGTTAACCGTAAATAGGGCAAAAAGAGTTAACCGTAAGAGAAATTGTTCCCTAGCTAGGTTTGTTGATTTAAGGAAGGTGTTAAACTCACTTTTTTATGGTTACGTTTTTTATATACTTCCCGGTTACTTTGACTCCTTACGCACGTTAGGCTAAGCGCCTAGCTTTTAGGTGTTGACCTAGACCTAAACTCCATTTTCGTCGCTCTCTCGGAGAACTAATTTTTTCCATAGCGAAAATCTGGCTTCTGGCTGGGGATTAATATTTGCTATTTTCAAGAGGTCGAGCCCTCGAAATACTAGTGAAACAACACGCAGAGATATGTCACTGTTTGTAAAACACATTGGCGATAAACAACAATTCCCTGTTTTTCTCTAACGCCACGGTAGACATTGCGATGTCTAGTTCATGTATTAAAGGCGTCTTCCCACGCAGTCTCGTTCAAGGCATTTCGGTGGGGTATCTGAGAAAAAAAACTCGCTCGGACCACGTAACCGGAAACTCATTAGCCGCGCGGAACAATGAGGTCTACGGACAAGGCAACAGGAGACTGAGTCGTTCGTACAGTCTTTCGCTATCATTAAAAACACTGGACACGGGAATTTTGTTATTGGCTGTTTTCAGACTAGAGCTAGAAATAGATCATCCGTCTGAGACTAACCTGTGTACAGTCGCCCCCTCCCCCACAGACACCCCTTCTCCGATTTTTTCTTATTGGAGGAGGCGGCTGTACACAGGCTATCAGAAACGGATAATCCATATCCAAACTGTCCCTCAAAATTGACGAATAAAGTCAGGTGGATTGTTCATTCAAAATTAAAACCACTCCGTTTTGAAACTAAGACGTATTGCTTATCTGACGCGAATTATCAAACGGATAACCCGTCTCACGCGAATCACCCGTCTCTAGTGTGAAAACGGCCATTTCTGTTGTAAATGAATGTTGGCGTTCGCGTTTTGAATTGGCAATTGGCATTTCTTTGCGTAAAATAATACTAGAAGAGGAATACTTTACAAAAAGTATGATCTATCAAATGTTAAAATTTTTCAGAAGGATAGCATTTCATCCCGAGATGATCTTAAGACCTTTATTTTGCTTAAAAGATACAAAAAATACAGGTTCATTAACATTTAACTCTTTGAAACAAAAGAAATTAATCTTTAACTTTTTTTTGTTAACCGTAACAGAAAAAAATTAAACGATAGCCGTAAAAGAGCCAAAATTTTAGCCGATAACCGTAAAAGCCACCACCCCATTGAGACCCTCCTTTCTGGTTCACCCAGGTAGAAGTCCTGGCATATAATTATGCCAGAGCGCTTCTAGGATGTGTAACACGTTTAGCATTTCCACCCGTAGAAACTGAGAAAGATATCCTATCATTTCGTCGTACTAAATCAATGTAAATGTACTACACAGCGCCGAACTACAACAAGGGGAGCACTAACGAACTCGGGTAATATTGAACTATAGATATTTAATCGTTTTTGCTTGTGTTGACAATGAGATCGACCGCAGACTAAAATATGTTCCTTTTTAGACGGCACTGAATTATTTTTCCTAAATTCTGTTAGGTACCGCGCTTTTAATTGATTATATTTCTCACCCTAGGATGATGACATGATTGCGTGACAATTGACGCCTCTATCATATTAGATGCGCAATACGATCAGAGGTTAATGGAAGCTACTGGATATCCAGCTGACTTTTACTCAGCTTTCTCAGCTGGATACTGAGGGGTCTTTTTGGTTGCTAAGATCGTGCGGCTCGTTATGACAGCGGGCCTAGAAAGTTGTGAAGGTTGCTCTTCGACAAGGTACGTAATCTATACGATAACACTTTACACAGTATTATTAGTACTTTTTGATTTGTTCGTCGTACTTTGAAATGACCCCTTTCACGTCAGTACACTGTTGATGTGATCTGCAAAGGTAAAGTGGTATCTAGTCTTAGTTGGTACCGTGTGTGTCCCGTAGAAAATTACGTAGTTACGTAGAGAAAACGATGTGATGAACATGCACACAGACTGGTGCTCCCGGCTACTGAAATGTATTATTTTCACTATATTAAGTAATGGCAGCCCTTCTAGAGAACAGTGATAGTTAAGAAATATCGTATAATTGAATCAAACAAGAATGCGGAATAGGGTAAATATAAGTTGAAGCTATGTCGGTAGCTCGGAACGCGTTGACAAAATCAACAATATACAGAGACGGAAAGACAAACAGGGCACAAAGACGTGTTTGGCCTTTGCCGGAGACGTTAAGATACTTTTCTGCTTCTTGTTTTGCTTGCTGACTGTTTCTTATTCGTTTGTGTTTTGTATAGCGTGATATCGAAACATCAAACTATTTGTTTCATGTCGCTAGGGTGGGCACCTAATCCTAATTCCGTTTTACTCTCAAGGTGAATTAAGTTTGTTTAATGTTGTCGCCAAACTGATCACATACTGATTCAGAAGCTAATTAGCGTACAAAATCAAACTTCCCTTTGGCTCATTTCAGTAGAGTTTGCTTACACTGTTACCTTTATGACTCGTTTCAAGTGTAGAAAAGACTTTAGCGTTAGTGCTTTACAAAACATAATTTTGCCTAATGCTAGTTCTTTTGTCTTGGTTTTTAATGTTAATTCTCGCAAGTTCGAAGTATTAATAAATTTAGTTAAAACAAGAAACTTCGAAGAGCAGTTTAAAAGCAAGCAATCCCCCAAGGGGCACCCAACGTCAATTTTCGGAAAGAGTCTGTTCGGAAGACGATTTGAGATCTAGAATTTTCGGAACATTTGTTGTAAAATTTCTTGCTTGCCTGCCTCTCTTAGGATTTTCGAACATCTAAAAAATGATATAATTGCCCATTTTAACGGATTTTTACTCTAAAAAGGTCACCTAGAATTTTCGGGAGCCTTTTATCTGGCTGAAATTTTCGAAAAGGTAAGTTTTGATCGCTATTATTTTCGGATCACTAGACTTTCAGCCAGGAGATCCGAACAGATAAAAACTTTTTAGGGGATAAAAATAGCCTATATCTACCTTTTAAATATATACTATCAATACGTTTAACAATGCTATGTTTAAGTGGTTTTGAACTATATTCTCGTTGGGTGCCCCTGATCCGCATCGCGAGGCCGCTTGTAATGAGTTAAAAGAAATTCAGTCTGTTCAGTGGACTCTATTCTGTAATCCATCTCAATCGTTTAGAGTATGTGCTTTGAAATCTTTCATGTGTAGTGAGTGTACTTGGTTGAAAAAACTCGGAATAGTCAGTCACAAAGGCACGTAAATATACATTTAGTGCAAACAGACTTTGCATCTTTATACAAAACCTTTGTTAGTAGGCCATTTGTATTATGACATCATTTTACTTCTACTACAACCTGAATCCCTCATGGGTTTGCTTTGTTGTGCAAATTAGGGTCTTTCTTATTTAAGCCTCAGTGGGATTAACAAGTTAAAATATGAAAGACAAAACGAAATAAATTCTGGTCTTAGTACAGTAAACATACGTCAACATGGAAATGGCCTGTTTATGACACTTCTCTGGTTTCAAAAAACACAAGAATGTGAATAAAAAAGGTAATATCTAAATCTCTAAATCTCAGTAGGAGACGGAATTACGCCGTCTACAGTGACATCAATTTTTTTTAAAAGAATTATTTAGATATGAGAGAATAAATAATATTAAACATTTCCTCGAATCCGGGTCTGTCTTGATTCCTGAAAAAACAAATTAAGTTTATTCTTTATGCACTGCGTTATAAACTAGGCTCAGTCCCCCGGCTTCATAACCAGCAAGCGTTGACTAAACCGGAAGAAGTTTGCGATATCCAGTAAAATAATGCCAATAGAGCAAGAATAGATACCGACATAAATGGCACGGTAACGAAGTGTTTCGCTCATGATATTTGACCATTTTCATCGACCTTTGAAGCAGGCTGAAGCAATTGCTAAACACACATCGTCCTTGAAACACTGGAAAGCCTATATCGTTCTTTATGCAAATTTCTGTTCAAGAAAAACAATGTTGTTTACGCAGACTAGCTCTCTATTGGATAAGGTGATGGCGTTGTTTATTCCTTAGATTAACATTAGTAGCGTGATTAAAATAAAGCGACAGTTTCTTAAAGCAAATGTCGGGTTAGTACTACAGAAAGAGACGAGTCTTAATGGATGTGATGCAGCTGCACAGCTTATAACTAAAAACAACGAAAAAGTATTATTCAAATAATCATTTTTTCTTTCTTTCGCACGAATTTCATTAAAATACTTTAACAACAATAAAAGAGGGTATAAAATACAAGAAAAAAATAAAAAAACGATAAAAATATATTTCTAAGAGGCTACAGGGAGCGATGAAACTGGTCCGATCACAATTTCGTTGGGACGGCCAAACTTAGTTGGCTTGAATGATAAAGGTGGCCTCTTAACCCTTTAAACCCTGATATGAAAATTTGAATTCTCATTTGTTGCCCCTATTCATTTCTAGAAGTAATGGGGAGAAGTTGATT